CAATATTTCCTGTTTCTCGTGGCAAAAGAAGAAAGATCCACACTGCAGTTTTTTTTTGAAGCTCCCAATTTTTCTTTCAATGGCACCACAATGTTACGTTTCAGGCCAAGCCCTTCAGAAGAAAATGTTTCAAACCATACATAGGCCCAGGTCCAGTCACCTGACCCACCGCGTGATCAGCCCCGATAAAAGGAAAAAAAGTCTGATTCCAACCAAAGAAACGTCACATTGTGGTGTCACTGAAATCAAAATGTCAGAGTTTCAGAACTGCAGTGTGAATCTCTTTCTTCTTTTGCACAGTTTTTGTTTTTGGACCCAGCAGGAAGTCGCAATTTTTGTTGGATGTGCATGTTTTTATGTTTCACTATTGTTTCTCAAGTGGCCCCATGGAATAAATAATTGCCCAGCCCTGTGCTAAAGGAAACAATGCAGCTTTCTCTTATTTAAACACTAAAAAACAATACGAATACTAAGAAAACCTCTGTGTATTTGAGTAAAATGTGTCCTACCTCGTTACAGATGTAAGTTTAAGCAGCTCTTGAGGTTAAAATGAGTCTGCTGTGAGCTGCCTGTATCTGATTATAAAGTGTTTTTGTTGCCAGATAATCAGCAAGTGTGTGTTAACATGCTAGTTGCTGTTGTTGTGTAGCTTTACCGTGACAGCAAAACTCCGCTCTGGTCCCTGAAAGTTGTAAAAAGCACTTACAACTAAAAATAAAACGCTTCCAATGCATGAGGAAAGTGAGGAATCACTTTGGATCACTGCAAAATAAAAATGAAAGTAGTTCTGTTTTTCACATTTTAAGACCAATATCACCTTTAAATATTGACAAATGTACTTAAAGGTGCGAGATCCAACTTTCTGGACGTGGCTCATTACCGGATTCCATGGAAATTTTGATCTGCTTTACATTTCTGGACAAATGTTTAAAAAAATCACCCTAAAAACCAGAGGCAGATGCAACCAGATACACAATAAACGTCAGGGTAAAAAGACATGAAAAGCACGATTCTGCATCTGCATGATTCAGAGAAGAGTTAAAAGAGAATTTAAAAGTACTTTACTGAGATCGCTGACAGATTTGATGACTGGATTTGGCAGCGTGGGTGAAGTGTATCGCCCGAGGGAATAAGGCAACAAATATTCCCTTTTCCTTTTTTCATCATTCTTCTATATTTATTCGCTCTGAAGAGTCCAGGGCATCGCTCCAAATTCTGAACTCTGCTCCAAAACCACTTCATACTTCATCGTCTGACTGACAGAGGCCTGGCTGTGGACCTGTTTGTTTAAACACCCAAAAATAATCACGGAACATTTGAAACCAGCATCTCGATTCAGTTATAATGTCATTGATTAATTACTTACTTATTACTTACTTATTTATTATACGACGGTCAGTGAGAATTCCAGTGTCTAATTGCCGTGTTGTTTATACTGCATAACCCACAAGTAGTTCCGGGCAACAGCCAAATCACTGTTGTGTATCACTGCTCTGCTCCCGTCGCCATGACGTCACCATAGCAACGGGGTAAACAAACGCTCAACTGACTAGTTTTGTTTGGGAATGCAGGGACTTTTTTTTTTAATTTAATATATAATTTTATTTATACATTTCAGCAGCGAGTTACATAGTATGTGCACTAAAAATCATAGTTGTGCATTTTCCCCCCAACAATAATAATAATATAAATAATAATAATATAATATAATAATAATAACAATATATATATATAAATAAAAAGAGAAAAATAAATAAATATAATAAAAAATATAAATTAAATAAAAAAATATAAATAAGTAAATAATAATTATATAAAATTAAATAAATAAATAAATGAAATGAATAAAACAGCAGAAAATTTCAAAGACAAATAAATAAAACTAACATAATATATAAATGGGACTAGTTTCTTTTAAAACACCAAAATAAATCAAAATAAAATAAAATAATAATAATAATAACAGTAATAACAATAATATTAATAAAATATAAATAATAAAAATTTATGACATAAAAAACTGCAGATAATTCAAAGACAGATAAAGCTGCACATTTTTCTCCAACAAACAAAAATAAATAAATGAATTAATTAAAAAAAAACAAATTAATAATAATAATAATAGTAAAACTGATAAAATCTAATAATTAAAAATTAATTCAATAAAAAAACGCAGATAATTCAAAGAATAAAAAAAGTGACATAATATATATATGGGACTAGCTTCTTTTAAAACATTAAAATCACTGATATTTGAGACATTTACAGACAGGAAACATTCACAGGTGAGAGATTTCAGTTTGTAGTTGTGGCATAAGCACATTAAACAACAAGGAGCTGCAAGTTCTTCAGTTTTAACGCACTTCACAGAGGAACACCACTCCGCGGCGTGCGTTAAAACTACAGAACGCACGTCTCCTCGTCGTTGTTTAAAGTTTCCATCCCTCCCTGTCAGATTCTTGTAGTTCGCTCTGGTCTGGACGTGGGCTTCGCGGCGTCTCGGTGTGGGGTGAGTGGCTGTAGTTTTATGGGGTGACATCATTCGCAGGGTGATGATGGATGGCGCAGTGGAGACGCTCTGAGGGGCCCGAGGCGGCGGTGAATCAGACTCATGTGAACAAAGGCCGTTGAGCAGCGAGCATCATCGATCTCCCGCTTCTGTGAGCGAGACAGGAAAGGCCCGGAGGCGACGGCCTGCTCCACTCTGACGCTGGAGACAGTTGGCTCCACTCATTTACAGTTATAATTTATTTCCAAACACTAGTTTTGGCAGCTTGATCAAATCTTTTTCTGTAAGACAACTTTTGGGTTTAAATACGCATTGACAACCATGGCAAAAAATACAAATAAAGACTCAGAAAAACTAAAAAAAACTACAAAATGACTTCCATCTTTATTTCATAACACAAACAAGACAGATTTTTGTTAAGTGCTGTTTAAAGTAAGTCAGTCTTTATTTATATAGCGCTTTTCACAGACATTTTTTGTCACAAAGACGCTTTACAGATCATTATTCAGCATTATTCATCCACTCTACACCTGCTGATGGTAAACTACTGTTGTAGCCACAGCTGCCCTGGGACAGACTGACAGAAGCGCGGCTGCCATGCCATGGGTCCCTCCGACCACTACTATCACACACACACCACTTTCATACTAGGCAATGTGGGTGAAGTGCTTTGCCTAAGGACACAACAACAGTTATTGCCACTGGAGCCTCACACAAGGTGCACTGTGTAGCTTTTCAGGTGTAGTGTCATAGTAGTGGAGACTAGGGCTGTGGCAGTTAGGGAATTTCTCCTGCGGTGCCGTAAAGCAGCTCAACAGCCCAGTATGTGGTGATACTGCACCCCCCTCCCCCTCCCCACATCCCTGGAGTTAGAATATTTCCAGCGGCTCTGAAAACTCTCAGTTGATGCTCTTGTTGTTGCAGATGCACATGTACCTTGGTTGGTGCACAGATATATCGTGTGTAGTGAGAGAAGTAACATTTGGCTTTGGAACAAGTGCCGCTGCATCTCTCCAGCTCTCACTGCGCCAGGTCGGGTCAGAGTCCCGCACCAGGTCGGGTCATAGTCCTGCACCGGGTCGGGTCAGAGTCCCGCACCAGGTCGGGTCCTGCACCAGGTCGGATCATAGTCCTGCACCGGGTCGGGTCAGAGTCCCGCGCCAGGTCGGGTACCCTTGGACTTAAGAGAGAGAGAACCTCGAGCACGCGGAGCAGGTGTCCGCAAAGTGCGGTCAGGTGACAGTCGCACTTATCTCCGTGCACGCAGAGTTTCACCTACGGTCACCCAACAGTCTATACAGGCACACCTTAGTCCTGGGTTAGTCCTGGGTTATCACGGGCGGTAACAGGTGGAATGTTAACAGGTCCGGGCGGGTGCAGGTCTCTAAAAATGGACCCATGCAGGACTCTGGGTCGGGTCACGTTGGTCACGTTGGTCACGTTGGTCACGTGCAGTGATCGCGGTGGGCCAATATGCACGGCGGTGGGCCTCTTAGTACCGCGGTGATTCATTTTTGCGGTTATCGCGACAGCTCTACTCAAGACAAGTCTTTTTTATTTTGTCTCGTCTTGGACTCGACTGCGTTTGGACTCGGTCTTGTCTCGGTCTGGAAGGTGCTTGGACTCAGTCTTGTCTTGGTCTTTTCTCGGTCTCGAAGGCGAGGAAGTGAAATCTGTCCACGCAGCAAGATCATTTTACTTGATGAGTTAACTTAAAATAAACTTCCTCTAGACTAGAATGAAGCATTCTGTGGTGAGTTCATGGGCTGGAAATAAATTTATAGATGCTCAGTTCAAGAGAAACATACATAAATAAACCTGTATCACTGAATCTAAAAACAATTTAAGTGTTTCAGGGAAAAACTCTGGTAAATGGATTATAGCTTCTTCTTTTAAACATTTATTGACTAAATTTAAGATTTTCTGACGAGTCGAGTCATGGAAGAAACATGTACACTGCAAAAAACAAAATCTAGTGAAGTTAAAATGACTTGAATTAAGAACTTTTTATCATGATTTGAGTAAATTTCACTTTTCACAAATTTCACAAGTAAAATTATCTGAACTTAAAATATGAAAATACATCTTGCTGCACTTAAAACAAGAAAAACAGCATCTCTTTGCACTTAAAATAAGAAACAAAATCCAATGTCAAATTGAATCTACACAAATAAAGTAAAATGTTCTTAATTTAAGCCATTTTAATTCAGCTAGATAATGTTTTTTTCCAGTGTGTGACAATTTTTAAGCTTATACAACCAACTCAGAACGAATAAGTAGATAATAAACCTGAAAACAAGATGAAGAACCTGATATAAGTTTTAAAATCTAAAGAAATCTGCAGTTTACGAATAAACTTGCCTTTCCTTGTGCCGCTGCGTGACCCGTGGAGCACCCAGGATCTTCTCCAGATATTTGGACACTGAGTAGAGTTAAAGCGTGTCGAGTTAAAAGTCTAAAGTAAAGTGTGTGTGTGTGTTTTCTGTTTCAGACACAGACCCGCGGGTTCTGGAGAAGCAGGAGCAACAGCAGCCCACCTACCTGGCCCTGAGCTACATCAACAGGTACCACACCAACACCACTTTAACACGGTTTGTTTAAAGGTTGTATAAGGATTTTTTTAAGGGAAGAAAAATACAGCGACAGTCCTTTTTCAAATGTTGTGCCTGCGTGACACCACCTTCCTCCTCCACAGCCTCAGTAGAAACACCTCCTCCCGCCTCTTTACTCTAGAAATCACGCTTGTTTACATCCAGTGCGTGTTCAGAATTACTGTCGAAGTGACCCGTCTAGAAATAATTTAGCGTCAGTTTTTAGACCCTTTCGTCCGCTTCAGTCGCGCCATCGCTGGAAGAGATCTCCAAGAATCACCTCAGTTTGTCTTCGCTCCTTTTCTCCTTCTCTTCTTCGTTCAGCGACCTCAAAAATGAACTTTCTTTTGCGGCGAACCGGTCGTGGATTCTCGTCCGCCATCGCGACAAACTTTGCGCGAATTGCGAGGAAGCGACAGTTGAAAAAGCCTCTAAGAACCGCTGCATAAACCACGTAATCCCCGCGCGCTGACGAGTCAGTTACACTAGAAACGTAGGGAGTTTGATTGACAACCCAACAGCCAATAGAAAATGAGGGAGCCTCGTTTTCTATTGGCTGATGTTTATCTGGCCTCAACACGTCCACAGTTGACAGATTTTCATTCTTTTTTTTTCGTAATTACAAGGCTCCTGCGTCTCTGTAATGTTATTTTAAACTTTCATTGACAATTTGAAACAAACAAAAAAAAATCCTCCAGAAATAATTTGGTGACCAACACGTCAGTTTTTAGACCCTTCGTCTGCTTCAGTCGCGCCATCGCTGGACGAGATCTCCAAGAATCACCTCAGTTTGTCTTCGCTCCTTTTCCCCTTCTCTTCTTCTTTCAGCGACCTCAAAAATGAACTTTCTTTTGTGGCGAACCGGTTGTCAGGTCGTGGATTCTCGTCCGCCGTCGCGACAAACTTTGTGCAAAAAAAAGCCTCTAAAAACCGCTGCATAAACCACGTAATCCCCGCGCGCCGACGAGTCAGTTACACTCGAAATGTAGGGAGTTTGATTGACAACCCAACAGCCAATAGAAAATGAGGGAGCCTTGTTTTCTATTGGCTGATGTTTATCTGGCCTCAACACATCCACAGTTGATAGATTTTCATTCTTTTTTTTTTTGGTCATCATAATTACAAGGCTGCTGCGTCTCTGTAATGGTATTTTAAACTTTCATTGACAATTTGAAACAAAAAAAAAAATCCTCCATACGACCTTTAAGGAGAAATACTATGAAAAATCAAACTTTTTATCCATGTTATTGTAGTTTTCCAGTTCAATCCACTTTATTTCTATAACACATTTTAAAACCATGACAGTTTAAAAGTTTATTGTCAATTCTTCATACGAAACATGACGAATCGAGATTGTGTTTTTCACTCTCAAGTGTCTAAATAAATAATAATAAACGGAAAAGTCCAAGTGTTCTTTGGGGAGACGCAGATTCCGAGCTTCCTAATACAATAAAAGACTATAAATCATGAATAAAATAATAAATATAAGTGTTAAAATGCATAAAGATAAACATAATAAGGAACAGTTTTGACTTTTAAAAAATTACGCTATTTTCTGATCTTTTATGTTGTGATGTTGTGTTTCCTGATCACAAACAGACCTGGAGTTGTGTTTTATTTCATTCACACACGTTTAACTCACAATTCCTGCACATTTAGGCTGATTTCTTTTCTCAAACTTTAATAATTTGGATTATTTCAGACCTGGAGTTGCTTATCTTTACTCTACGAAATGTAAAAGGAGCTGTTAACTTTAAAACTAAACCAATCCAATCCACTTTATTTCCACAACAAATTTCATAAACAGAACATTTTTCAAAGAGCTGCTCAAAACAGATAAAACAAATCCAATAGAAATAGAAAATAAAGCTCTGTTTAACTCCACTAGTCCTCGTTAAGACAATAAAACTAGGGGAGGGACATTAATGCGTTAATTACGATTCAAATAATTATAAAGAAATTAATGCATTAAAAATATTAACGCATTTTATCGCAGTTTGACAGCACACGGTTCTGACAACAACAGTGGGGCATGAAAGCGCTCTGGGTTTGCTGGACGGTAAAATTCTTTTTTTTTAAATGACCCGATGGAAGTATTGATAAAGGCGTCGTTTATTGTGTAGAAGAGAGTTTGCAAGACGTTCACGAAAGAAATAACTTAAAGTAAAATGGCACTTTAACTTTAGTCTCTTCAGGTTTGGACAGAGATCTTAACTTTTAAAATGAAATGCAGTTTATTTTTTTTCAAGATATTTTCCCAGACGTTAAAAAAGCTCGAGTTTAAACGTATGTTTTATTTGAAAGTCATTTACATAAAATAAATGTTGCTTTTGGGGCAAATATTGTTATGCAATTAATTACAAAGCCTGTAATAAATTAGATTTATTTTATTTATTTTTTTAAATCAAGGCCTTTCCCTAAAAAAAAGTAAAATCAGAGCCAGAATACCAAAAAATAATTAAAATAATAATAATAGTAGTAGTAGTAATAGTAATAGTAGTAGTAGTAGTAGTAATAGTAATAGTAGTAGTAGTAGTAGTAAGTAGTAGTAGTAGTAGTAGTAGTAGTAGTAGTAGTAGTAGTAGTAGTAGTAGTAGTAGTAGTAGTAGTAGTAGTAGTAGTAGTAGTAGTAATAGTAGTAGTAGTAGTAGTAGTAGTAGTAGTAGTAGTAGTAGTAGTAGTAGTAGTAGTAGTAGTAGTAGTAGTAGTAGTAGTATAGTAGTAGTAGTAGTAGTAGTAGTAGTAGTAGTAGTAGTAGTAGTAGTAGTAGTAGTAGTAGTAGTAGTAGTAGTAATAGTAGTAGTAGTAGTAGTAGTAGTAGTAGTAGTAGTAGTAGTAGTAGTAGTAATAGTAGTAATAGTAGTAGTAGTAGTAGTAGTAGTAGTAGTATAGTAGTAATAGTAGTAGTAGTAGTAGTAGTAGTAGTAGTAGTAGTAGTAGTAGTAGTAGTAATAAATCAATAAATAAACGACACAGAACTACCAGTGAACTACCACTTCATGACATCACAAGGTGGAACAGAACATTTTGAGCTTTGGAGACTATTAATAAAGTGTTACTTAAACACGTGTGAATGAAACAAAACACAGCTCCAGGTCTGTTTTTGAAGAGGAAATGACATTAAAACAGAGATCAGAAAAAAAGTGTAATATGGACTAAGTAAAACTTGACAGACTCCACAGCTCTAACCACAACAAATCTAATAAATTTAAGCACAAGTACAAGGTTTTTGACAGGGAAATCGCTCTTATCATGTAATAAAACCGTCCCGAGAGGAGCCGCGACCTCCAGGGGGCGGTAGATGAGCCGAGATGTTCCGAGTGAAGAACATGTGGTGGTTTGGAGCTTCCCTCCCCGTGACTCACCCAGAAACCACACGACACAATCGGGCCTTCAGAGCCCTGCAGCGAGCGTGCACGTGTCTGTGAGCGTGCACGTGTCTGTGAGCGTGCACGTGTCTGTGAGCGTGCACGTGTGTGAGGGGGGCTCGTGCACGTGTCTGTGAGAGTGCACGTGCGTGGTTGGACATGGTAAACTGTAGATCTGGTGTGTGTTAATGCTGTGATGGTTCAATAATGCAGCACCACAAACGTCTGTCTTACACTTTACACTTTATTTTGGTTTGTTTTATCTTGTGTAGTTCTGTTTTCATGACGAGTTATCAGTCGAATCAGAAGTTTCCTCAAATATCAGCACAGATTTGAGGTCCTGATCTGCCCTGGTCTGTGCCCACGTGTCTGTTTTCTTACTGCACAAACTTGACTCTCTTGAGCTTTAAGTCGTGTTCTAATGTTGTTCCTTCATCAGAATCAGACCTGGAGTTGTGTTTTGTTTCGTTCACACGTTCGAGTGACTTTTTATTATTAATCTGTCTACATCAAAATACTCTGTTCCACCTTGTGATGTCATGAAGTTGTAGTTTTCAAGTGAGGAACAACTAAAAGTTTAAACTAGAGAACTGATTGTGTTAAACATGTGTGAATGAAACAAAACAGGTTTGTTTTTCATGAGGAAACAACATTTTAACACAGATCATGAAAGAAACAAATCCACTGAGTTCCATGTTTGAAAATTGTGATGTAAAAAAAAAAAAAAAGACAGAAAAAAGTACTTCTAAGCAGGACTTGCAAGTCGTGACTTGGACTCAAGTCAGACTTGAGTCATTATTTTCAGGACTTGAGACTTGACTTGATAAAACAGACAAAGACTTGGGACTTGGGACTTGAGAAAACTTGATGCTTCGACTGGTTGACAAATTAACTGTTATTAAGCTGAATAAGTCAAGCGAGCTTATTAAACTTGCTTGACTTGACTCGGACTTGAGGTCAAAGACTTGAGACTTGCAAAACAACGACTTGGTCCCACCTCTGCTACTACAATTTTAGCAACTAAAATTCAGAATAAAAATAATTCTGACTTCTTTTTTCAGAGTTTAAAAATTCTAAATCTAATAGAACAAATTATCTTCCATAAATCTGAGGGCTTGAAAATATCTGAAAAAGTATACTTAAAATAATAAAATAATAATAATAATATAATAATAATAATAATAATAATAATAATAATAAAATAATTCAAACATATTTTTTTTTCTTTTTCTTTTTTTTTTTGAGAGCTTGAAAATATCTGAAAAAGTATACTTAAAATAATAAAATGAACATGAAATGAAAATAATAAAAATGTATAAAAATCTATAAAAAATAAATTTAAATAATTCAAACATAATTTTTCAGAGTTAAAAGTTCAAAGTGAGTATTTCGGTCTGTTGAATTGTAAAACGGTGTTTGTGGTGTTTGTGGCGTCAGGTTCATGACGGACGCGGCGCGCAGGGAGCAGGAAACCATGAAGAAGAAAGCCACGCCCAAACTGTCCCTGTCCATCAGCGGGGGCGTGTCCAGGAACAGCACGGCCACGCCCCCTCGCCACACCAGCGGCAACCTGACCCCGCCCGTGACCCCGCCCATCACGCCGTCCAGCTCCTTCCGCAGCAGCACCCCCACAGGTACGGCAGGTACTACTACTACTACTACTACTACTACTACTACTACTACTACTACTACTACTACTACTACTACTACTACTACTACTACTACTACTACTACTACTACTACCCCCATAGGTACGGCAGGTACTACTACTACTACTACTACTACTACTACTACTACTACTACTACTACTACTACTACTACTACTACTACTACTACTACTACCACAGGTACGGCAGGTACTACTACTACTACTACTACTACTACTACTACTACTACTACTAGGTACTACTACTACTAGGTACTACTACTACTACTACTACTACTACTACTACTACTACTACTACTACTACTACTACTACCCCCATAGGTACGGCAGGTACTACTACTACTACTACTACTACTACTACTACTACTACTACTACTACTACTACTACTACTACTACTACTACTACTACTACTACTACTACTACTACTACTACTACTACTACTACTACTACTACTACTACTACTACTACTACTACTACTACTACTACTACTACTACTACTACTACTTCTACTACTACCACCACTACTACTACTACTACTACTGCTACTACTACTACTACTACTACTACTGGTACTACTACTACTACTACTACTACTACTATTGCTAACGTAATGCCATGCTGTGGGATATTCCAGACAAAGCAGTTCAGTCTCCATGGAAACGAGACGGTGGATTTCAAACACTCTACAGTTAGAGGACCACACAACAGGAACAGTTTTCCTTCGTCTGACATAATAAAGGTGTAATTTAGTTTAATTAGTTTAATCACTGCAGTTCTGTAATTTAGAGTTTTGAAGTTTTGTTAAAGCTTCTCTGTGACTCAAAATCCACTCCTGTTCCATCGTCACAGAGATGACTTCACTAGAAATGTTACCCCATGCGTACATTGTTCTAATTAAGACCAAGACCAGTCTGAGACCAAAACAAGACCAAGACTTTTAAAGACCAAGACAAGACCGAGACCACGGCCCATCAAGACCAAATTGAGACCATCTTTGTCATTTTTGACATTTATTTGTATTTTACAGTTATTTTGGCATAAATATAGCAATGATCTTATAAATCTATCTCCATTTTATAATTCGTCGAGTGTCAGACCTCGAGACCGAGACAAGACCGAGTCCAAACACGGTAGAGTCCGAGACGAGGCCAAGGGTCTGTTTACACTTGTGGGTAAAAACAACAAAATATTTTATGATTATTGCCTTTCGTTTAGACGGTGATGCCGTTTTTGGGGCTTAAAAACGCAAAAATCTGAACCCACCCTGATGAAATCTTTCTTTTACACAATATAATAATATTATGAACAACCTGAAACTTTAAAAAAAAAAACAATTTCAACACAATGTTTTAACATTAACTTGTATGCAAATAGAAATAAGTCAATTTTTGTTGTAAAATCCTGCACTCGGCTCCACTTTTCTCAGTTTTGACATTTTTCTGATGAGGGTGTCACGGTCAACAGACAAAACGATCGTCCTTTAAGAGCGTTTGGAAAGAGACAAGTCTTCATTTGTGCTGCTCTGGTGGGAGGGGCCACGTACAGAGACACTGGAGACGCTGCTATGCTCAGCGGCACAGAAATTTACCAACATTTTAACAGAAAATATAATTAAAATATTTTAGTAGAAAATCAGCTGAGGGCCAGATTAATGTCATGGAGGGCCGGATCTGGCCCCCGGGCCGTATGTTTGACACCTGTGCTTTAAGTACAAACACACACAATCCAATTCTACACACTTTTGCGTCACCGTGTGCAGCAGATTTACTCCTGAAAACACTCGACTAAATAAAAAGCGAAGACGCGACGCCACTTTTCAAACCGTCATCACAAAAACGTAGCCCAAGACGATTAAAAAACGCTCTGGAAGCCGGTCTCGAGACAACAAGTATGACAACACTACTGCGCACCTTTTAACTGGAACCAAAACGTGAGCACTTTACCTTGATTTTAGCGTCGTTGCGTTGGCTTCCAGTTCGTTTTAGAGTTGATTTTAAGATTTTATTGTTCGTTTTTAAAGCTTTGAATGTTCTGACCCCAAGTTACGACTCGGACCTCATCGAGATTTACTCCCTGCGCGCTCTGAGGTCCAGCTCCAGCTCTTGGGGCCTAAAAAAAGACTTAAATCGGGAGGACAGGACCTTTTCTGTGACTGACCCCAAACTCTGGAACGTTCTGAACCCCCACGTCCAAACAACGCCCCCTAGTGACAATTTAAAGTCTCGTCTTATGACCCACTTTTATTCTTTGGCTTTTAACACCGCGTGAGTTGTGTGGTCCATTGTGTCTTTTATTTATTTTACTCATTTACTACTATTTTATGATTTTTATGGTTTAGCGTTTATTTGATTTTATCCGTTTTATCGTTTGAGGACTATTATGACCAAATTTTTAGCGATTTACGTTTTTGTTGTGCCCGTTTTATGATCTCTGTGCGGCACTTGTTTGTAAAAATGTGCCGCAGAAATAAAGTGGGTTTGGATGTTTTGGCGGAGGGAGCGGTGTGACCTCTCCCTACCCAGCATGCATCTGTTCTGGGCGCGTTCCACGGCGCGTTAATGACGGGCCCCTGCGAGCGCCTGGCACGGGGCCCCGGGAGCAGATGTGCGCGCGAGTCCGGCCCCCTTTCAACATGTGCCAGGGTGCCACGGGTTTCCTGGAGGGTCCGAGCTTCCTGCGCGGCGGGGGAGGGGGAGGGGGAGAGGGGGCGGGGTCAGGGGGTGGGGGGGGATCAGGGCGTTTTCTCTTAACGAGGCCAGCGCCGGTTTCCCCTCGTGACACGTTTCTGCCCCTCTGCGTCAGCGCTAATTACAGCTGCAGCTAAATCAGGAGAACACGACTCTGCTTTTGTCGACTCCGGTTTAAAGTTTCTGGATCCCGCAGAATGTTCTGGAATGTTTCACAGTGTGGCATTAAGTGTTGGGAGTAACGCAATCTGTGTGTCATACGTTCATTCGTTTTTCAATATAAAACCAAAAATAAGAAAATTAAAAAACAACTGTTTTCTTCATGATTCACAAAACCAAAATGAAAAAACAGATAATGATTTGTAGAGCACTTCCTGTATTACCACATGACATCACAAGGTGGAGCAGATGATTTTTATCTGTTGGACGAGGAGGGTTTGTGTTCATGGTCGTGTGCGTTCTGTGCTTCAGGCAGTGAGTACGACGAGGAGGAGGCAGACTTCGAGGAGTCGGACAGTGATGAGTCGTGGACCACAGAGAGCGCCATCAGCTCCGAGTCCATCCTCAGCTCCATGTGCATGAACGGAGGAGAGGAGAAGCCCTTCGCCTGCCCCGTGCCCGGCTGCAAGAAGAGATACAAGGTACATGCACCGACACTGCCCACTCAGAGGATACAGTACTTATGTCACAGACGGAAAACATGAGTGTAGATATCACAGTGACACAGGGGACAACAAACAAAACAAAAGTGCACTTTCACAACATTAGTTTGATTATTTGGTTCGCAGCAGGCAGTAAAATAGTTCTTCTGTATCATAGGCTACGTTCAGACTGCACCTGAAGTGACCCAAATCCGATTTTTTGGCTTCTATGTTCCTGTATCTGATCTTTTAATGTCAGTCTGAATGACACAGATCTGATTTTTTCAAATGTGACCCAGGACACTTGGATATGTGCTCCTGAAACTGATACATATCTGATCTTTTGACATGTGACTTCAGTCTGAACGGTCAAAGTGCATTCATCCACCTACACGTTATCAACAAGACACGAATGTCACTATTCTGTGCTGAAGTAGTTGAAAATTGTTAATGAACTCCGTGTGACTGAAGTGAAGCACATCACCACTCACCACTCTTGGCTCCGTCTCCACATCCACACGTTCCTTTCAATGGACTGAACCACAAAACACCACGACCAAAAACCTCGTCCTTCTCCTTCTCAATCTCCTCCTTAAAACAAGTAAGTTGTTCATGTTCTGGCTCCGGTACGAGAGGAACTTTAAAATCTCCAGGTGCTCGATGCTGCGTCCATGTTTGGACAACTTCTGTAAACACAGAGACGCTCGCTGAGGTTGACGTCGTCGTGTCTCCAGTGTCACATGTGGGACACTTTTGGACCGTTTAATGTTCACACTGGAGTCACATACAAGTCACATTTAATTGGAAATGTGAACGACCTCACAAAAACATCGGATTTCACAAAAAAATTGGAATTGAGCGTTAAGCCCTGCAGTCTGAACGTAGCCATAGACTCCAGTGTGTTTCTTTCACACCTGCAAACAAACTAAAACTGGTCCAATTGACGTATATCTCAGGCTCCTTTGCACAGCAGGTTTGACTGCACGTGTTTCGGGGAAGCTGAGGCTCCCACACCCCAGACCTCTCGGAAACGAGGCCGAGATGCACCATCTCGCTCTTTGTCCATATCCCACAGAGGGGCTCTGGGGATATGGACGGCGCGGCGCCTGCCTAAGAGCCTCTTTGGCTCTTAGGCAGGTCTTAGGCTGAGGAGCTTTGACTTGCAAACTTATGAACCTTCAGCCACGGGGCAGGTGTCCGGACCTGACCCCTGTCACACCCTTTAACTGTGTGTGGTGGCCCGCCGGCCCCGTGCACACACTGAGTGACCTACCTGTGCAGGTCTAAGTCCACACGGCCGATAGTGAAACTGCCAATGGCTCATTAAATCAGTTCTGGTTTCTTTGATCGCTCCACTGTTACTTGGAGCACGTTTGGCATTTGAGGTTCATCCCATGTCTTCTTCACTCACCACAAACAGGAAGTGAAAGCATTAGTCTCCCTCCCATCATGTATTCTGAATAGTTTATTTGGACCTTCTGTCTGTGGTTTGGACCTCCAATGGCGTTCTCACCAGAGGAACCGCACAAGAGTTTGGTATCTGGTGCAAAGTCAAGAGGACCGAGACCACCTCTATTCTGAGGTCTCGGTCCGTTTGATTTAGTGCAGATCCGAGTGCGATTGAGACTTTCACACCAACGAAAAGAGCTTCTGATTTGAATGGAACGTTTGGTCACCAGCTGCTCTTGGTGTGAAAGAATCCTTGGACTTAAAACTGTTGTACGGCCAAAGACGAGCCGCAGCGTCTAATATTTTGGAGCCTTTGTGAGCAAAGTGAGTCCTCCTGTCATTGTGTCTACAAACAATCTCTGTCAAACATGTGTCCAACAGTAAAACACGAGCGACGACAGAAGAGGAAGAAGAAGAGTTCTGCCATAAACACGACCATCTCTACACGTTTCTCTTTCATTTACTCACTTTAACAAATGCCAAAACACCACTGGCATGTAGCATCGCCATGGTAACCTAATCTGCCACAATCAAAAGTCTCAGTGCGGGACTTTTAATGAATAACCTGAGGTCCAATGTAATTCCCGCTCAACACAATTTGGAACAATGTGGTTTTGCAAAGTTCAGCTGCACAGAATGATTTTTTTTTACCTTCACACGTACAATTTCTGTTCCGAAAAACAAACCTGGTGCTGTATTTTGACCGTTGACCTTTGACCTGTCTGTTCCAGAATGTAAACGGGATCAAGTACCACGCCAAGAACGGCCACCGCACCCAGATCCGCGTCCGAAAGCCCTTCAAGTGTCGCTGTGGGAAAAGCTATAAGACCTCGCAGGGTCTGAGGCACCACACCATCAACTTCCACCCGCCCGTCTCCACCGACATCCTGCGCAAGATCCAGGGCTAGTCCCAGAGTCCTGGACCAGCCCCCCCCCCCCCCCAAGTCCCCAAGTCCCCAAGTCCCCAAACCTAGTCCCTAGTCCCAGTCCTGGACCATTCCCGAGTCCCAAAACCAATCCCCCAAGTCCCAAACCTTGTCCTAAATCCAATCCCCAAGTCCTAAACCTAATTCCAAGTCCAATACCCAAGTCCAGTCCCAAACCTAGTCCCAAACCCTAGTCCCAAATCCCAAAACCTAGTCCCAGGTCCAATCCCAAGTCCCAAAACCTAGTCCCAAGTCCCACACTAACCCACAAGTGCATGCTTTAAGTTCAGTACGACCTTACGTTATCATGTTTATTTTTGTATTCGTTTTATATATCGCTCGTATTTTTATTTTGTAAAATCCTTCTCGAGTATTTTGACGGTCCTTGTACATTTGCACATCGGTATTTATGCTCTCACTTTGGTTTCTCTTGTTTTGACTGACATAAGGTGCTAACTGTAAAAAACAACAGAACGAAAAAGACAAAAAACAAATGAAAGTAAAAGGCGAAGAGAGGAGGAGGAGAAGAGGGCCCCTTGAGAGAGTGGCCCCGGAGCTGAGCTGAGAGCAGTCCAAGCACTCCAACGCCGGGGGGTTGCTGGTTCAATGCCCGATACTAAAAATACACGGACATAAGTATTACAGGTTTATAAATATGCACTGTAGGTTTGGAATTTGTATGACGTTCGTATGAAAGCGAAAAAGAAAAAAAAACGACGATTTTCTTCATTATTTGTCTCCAAAAACAAAATGAAAAACGGATAATGGTTTGTTTTTTCAGTTTCCGTGACTTAAACTGCGATGCTGGACTTTTGCGCCGCATACGGACTGAACCAGGACTAAAACAAGACTAAACCAGGGCTAAACCGTTTTCAGTCCCGGTCTCAGTCCCGGTCTGGTCCCGGTTTCAGTCCTGGCCTCGTTCCCGTATCAGTACCGGTCTGAGTCCTGGTCTCAGTCCTGGTCTCAATCCCGGTCTGGTCCCGGTCCCAGTCCCGGTCTGGTCCCAGTCTCAGTCCCAGTCCGGTTCCGGTTTCCGTCCCGGTCTCAGTCCCGGTCTCAGTTCTGGTCTCAGTCCTGGTCTCAATCCGGGTCTGGTCCCAGTCTCATTTTCCGATCTCGTCCCGGTCTCAGTCCCATCTGGTCCTGGTCTCGGTCCCAGTCTGGTTCCGGTTTCAGTCATGGTCTCAATTCTAGACCTGTTCCTGGTCTCAGTCCTGGTCTCAGTTCTGTTCTGGTCCCACTCTCAGTCCTGGTCTCAGTCCTGGTCTCAGTCCTGGTCTCAGTCCTGGTCTCAGTCCTGGTCTCAGTCCTGGTCCCAGTCTGGTCCCAGTCTGGTCCCAGTCTGGTCCCAGTCTCTCTGGTCCAGTCTGAGTCACAGTCCCGGTCTCAGTCCTGGTCTGGTCCCAGTCTCAGTCCTGGTCTCAATTCTGATCTGGTCCCGGTCTAAGTCCTGGTCTCAGTCCCGGTCTCAGCCCCAGTCTGGTCCTGGTCCGGTCCCGGTCTCAGTCTTGGTCCTGTTCCCGGTCTGGTCCCGGTCTAAGTCCTGGTCTCAGTTCTGATCTGGTCCCAGTCTCAGTCCTGGTCTGGTCCCGAAAACTGAAAAAACGAATCATTATCGTTTTTTTATTTTGGTTTTAGAGACAAATAATGAAGAAAACTGTTGCTTCTTTTTTTTCATTTTCTTATTTTGGTTTTATATCGAAAAACAAATGAACGAATGACACACGGATTGTTAGAATTGTCAAAAAATCTAAAATCTGGTACGACAGTAATCGATACTAACACTAAAATCAAAACTAGATCCTCATTTTTCGCAGGTATCGATACTAAAAAAGTCCCATCGACAGGACAGAAATTAATGCTAAAAATCACATTCTATCGTCTAAAGAAAGTTTTTTATTCTCATCGTGGCGTCAGAATCGGTATCGAGTATCGAGACGATTCCTTAGTATTTAAAATCAAGTTTGAAACGTTAGAATTGTGACGACTTTACTGTAGAACACATAATATATTTTAACATAAACAAGTTACAGCTTCAAAAGTACATTTCAGGACGACACAAGAGGAGCGCGGAGGGTTGTCGGTTCAATCCCCACAACACGAGCAGAATTTACTTAAACACAATCGAGTTATTGCTTCAAAACTAAATGTTAGTTTGTCACAGGGAGCACGGGGAGGTTGTTGGTTCAATCCCCACAACTAGAAACACAACGACATAAGTATTACAGTGATACAGACTGTAGCTTACATTATAGACTTTAATATAATCACAGCTCAAGAAACATGTTTTTATCTATAATAGGTTAGAAAAACGTTTGTAGAAAATAGTTGAAAGCGTTTGTATGTGTTCATCAGTCGGTTTCACTTTGTGGAAACCGTCCGACCTCGCAGCGTTGGGATTCGTTCGCTCAACGGTGGGCGGGTACTTTTTTTATTTAACCAATCGCTGCTATCCCGTAGGAAGAAGGACAATAACGTCTTTCCCCTTGATAAAATTCACCAAACCTTCTCTGTATTCCGGCTTTAAATCCTCGATCTCGGGAATCGTTGCCAACACAGAATGTCTGGCTCTTTGCTGATTGGTTGATGCCCGAACTTGCAATTCCAGGGTTTTTGCGAACCGTCTAGTGTATTCTGATTCCTGAACTAGTCGCTGGAGAGAAATGAAATTGAGCGGAGGCACTAGGCACCAGCTTGACTAGTAGATAAATACAAAAGAGAACAAATGCTTGTAGATTTGTGTTACGTTTAGTTGGATTTGAGCTCATTATCGTCAGTGTTACGTCTGATGCTCTGCAGAGTTTTCGACATAGGCCAGAATCATTCATACAAATGCTGCAAATCTGAGGAAATATAACATTAAATGAATAAAATACGTTATATTAATAAGATTACACCACACTAAACTAAACTAAACACACACTGGACAAAAATACATTTGTGGAAGTGAAACATTTGTGTTAAACTATTTAAATGTTTATGTTTAGTTCACTTCTTCAGCCTCGTCTCCCATTGGTCGTTTTAAACCCTAGCCCCGCCCACACGCTCCTCTGGTCCAATCACGTGCTGCTCTCAGGTCAGCCCCTCGGTCACTCTAAGGTGTTACACGTGGGTAACTCACCCACCAGAGTTAAGTTATACTTTATATAGAACTATGAGATATAAACCTAGACAGATATGTACGTGTAAATACAAATACTCTAAGTATTCAAATAGTCCCACTTTATTTTCCAGCTTTATTTGGTGTAACTCGGTCAGTGTTAGTTTGTGTAAGTGTTTCTTTAAATCTTTGTGTTGTTAACGGCCAGTTTCACCTCATCCTGAAAGAGCAGAGCAGACCCCCATACTCCACTCCACTATATACTCCACTGTGTACTCCACTGTGTACTCCACTGTGTACTCCACTGTGTACTCCACTGTGTGTACTCTACTGCGAGTACTCCAGTATATACTCCACTGTGTGTACTGTACTGCGAGTACTCCAGTATATACTCCACTGTGTGTACTCTACTGCGAGTACTCCAGTATATACTCCACTGTGTGTACTCTACTGCGAGTACTCCAGTATATACTCCACTGTGTGTACTGTACTGCGAGTACTCCAGTATATACTCCACTGTGTGTACTCTACTGCGAGTACTCCAGTATATACTCCACTGTGTGTACTCTACTGCGAGTACTCCAGTATATACTCCACTGTGTGTACTCTACTGCGAGTACTCCAGTATATACTCCACTGTGTGTACTCCACTGTGAGTACACTACTCCAGTATATACTCTACTGTGTGTACTCCAGTGTGTATACTCCACTGTGTACTCCATCGGATGTACTCTACTGCGGGTACTCCAGTGTGTGTACTCCACTGTGTACTCTACTGCGTACTCCACTGTGTGTACTCCAGTATGTACTCTACTGTGTACCGCTGTATACTCTACTGTACTCCACTCCAGTATATACTCCACTGTGTATACTCCAGTGTGTACTTCAGTATATACTCTAGTATATACCGCTGAGTACTCCACTGTATACTCTACTGTATATACTCCAGTGTGTACTCCACTGTGTGTACTCCACTCCAGTATATACTCCAGTGTGTACTTCAGTATATACTCTACTGTATACCACTGAGTACTCCACTGTATACTCTACTGTATATACTCCAGTGTGTAATTCAGTATGTACTCCAGTGTGTACTCCAGTATATACTCCAGTATATACTCCAGTGTGTACTCCAGTATATACTCCAGTGTGTACTCCAGTGTGTATACTCCAGTGTGTACTCCAGTGTGTACTCCAGTGTGTACTCCAGTGTGTACTCCACTCCAGTGTGTACTCCAGTACTCCAGTATATACTCCAGTGTGTACTCCAGTATATACTCCAGTGTGTACTCCAGTATATACTCCAGTGTGTACTCCAGTATATACTCCAGTGTGTACTCCAGTATATACTCCAGTGTGTACTCCAGTATATACTCCAGTGTGTACTCCAGTGCTCCTGTACTCCAGTACTCATGTTCATAAAGTCATTCCTCATGTGAGAGTGCCCGAGCGGTGCCACTCTCTGTGCCACACACACACACACACACACACACACACACACACACACACACACACACACACACACACACACACACACACACACACACACACACACACACACACAGATACACACAACACATAGACAGTTACACACACACACACACACACACACACACACAGATACACACAGATACACAAACACATAGACAGTTACACACACACACACACACACACACAGATACACACACACACACACACACACACACACACACACACACACACACACATACACACACACACACACACACACACACACGTTGCTGCTGCTCCTGTCACGTGCCCAGATGCCAAATTCGTCCAGATGAGATGATTCTTTTTCCATGACAGTTGCCAACAGCTCTCCACTGCCAAACATCCACCATGCCATGTGCCTGAGAGGGGTCAGGGGTCAGGG